GGTCTTGTGGCAGCTTACGGTTTTAAACTGTGGAGACAGGCAGGTGACAGAGAAATCAGCAGCAGGTACAGCATCTGCTCCCACCTGCACCTGCCAGACCGAGGAGGCAGGCCACATTCCACGTGGAATTGCCCACCCACCGCTGACCATGCTGGGAAGGCCCCTTGTTTTCTTAGTCACCCCAGGAGGGGCACAGGGCCCTAGTGATGGTGGTGGTGGGGAAACTGAAGCTCAGAGAAGGGAGACATATGGCAGGTGGGGGACCTGGTGTGTCTTCAGCTGGGAGGAACCAGATGTAGTTCAAAGCTAGAGTATGTAGCTACCAGCTGCTAAGAGTGGGCACAGCCTTGTTCAGTTCCCTCCCCAACTCCCTGTATTACCTGGGGGAGTGGGGGTGTCCATAGGGCAGGGGGTATGAGCAGGGGCCTGTCTCCCTCTCCTCTCCCACGGCGAGTCAGAGCCAGTGTTGGTGGTGCCAGGCAGGATGCCCATTCTCCTGACAGAGACACTGAGGCACTGGCCACACGGGTTGAGTGTGTAGTGCATTCTCTAGGCCTTGGGGTTCTAGGTTGGCTGCTCCACGTTGAGCAATCATGCAGCTGTAATTGTTAGCACCCTGTCTGTGTGTGCTTCACTGTAGTGATGTCCATTGATCCCATCTCAACAGTAAGTTAGTTCAGTAAGGCAGTGAAACATTGGTTATTGGGGTGTATGTGGGTTTGGATCTGTGCATATCTTTTTTGAGGGGAAGCTTTATTTACAATGCAGACAGGCAAAAGCAGGGATGGGGAAAGAGCTCGTCCATTTTAATTCACTTCCCAAGAGCCTGCAGTGGACAGGCCTGGACCAGGTCAAAGCCAGAAGCCAGTGGGCGCTCCATCGGCATCTCGCATGTGGGTGGCAGGGGCTCACAAAGACCTGAGGCACATTAGCAGAACACTGAATTGCAGCATAGCAGCCAGATTTGAAACTGGTCCTTGAGTAGAGGATGAGAGCATTGCAAATTGCCGCTTAACTTTCTGTGCCACAATGCTGGCCCCCAAGGTGTGTTTGGGTACTCACACATGTGTGAGTGCGCACACGTGTGCGGCTGTGTGCTTATGTGGCATGACTGGTTAGAACATTGAGGTCTTCTGTACTGGTTTGGGGGAGGGGCATGCCTGTGTGACGGTGTGTGGTTTGTCAGTTTGTGTGTGTGTGTGTGTGTGTGCTCGTGCGTGCCCCTGCGTGTGTTTTCTGGGCAGGCATGCCACATGGCTGAGATCAGAGAGGAGGTGAGAGTGCCGGGGCCCCATGGTGGCGGCGATGGCTGGGAGGCTAGGTTTCATCTCTCTCTCTTGGAGATTGATTTTGCCCCGGGAAGAACTCTGTTAATTCCTGTGACTCACTTGTGAGCAGAGTTCAAAGCAGCCAGGTGGTGGGAGGGTGTCTGGGAGTGCTGGTTTCAGGGTGATTTGCTCGCTCTGTGTACGAATTTGTTCTTTGAGGCGGGACTTTAACCTTGTCTGTGCTGTGGATCCCGTGACCACTTGGTGAAGCCCATGGTCACTGGCTCAGGGTAGCAACACAACAAAGATCTGGGAAAAAAAAGAGGTAGGAAGGTGAACGAGATGGAGACAGTGCAGTGAAGGTCAAGTGACAGGGTCAGGGACATGGGAAGCGTGGGAGCTGTTCTGATTGTCAGTGGCATGTGCCAGAAGCGGCCTCCCAGGCTCTAGAGTTCATTGCCCTGAGGCAGACCCCAACTCCTAATGTCAAGTTCATGAACACAGACTTTTCCATGCACATTCCACCTTGATGTTTTAAGTGGAATTTACATTCTTTGGAAACTGGAAGGGACTTTTATATGTGGTTTTTCCTGCTGATGCTTGGGACACACCTGACTCCCCAGAGCAGAGTGCCTGGAGTCCCACCCTGGGTTCTACTTCCGATTCCAGCTTCCTGCTAATATTAGTGCAGCCTGGGTGGCAGCAGGTGGAGGCTCCAGGACTTGGGTCTCTGCCCTCCACCTGGGAGACCTGGAAGGAGTTCTGGGCTCCTGGCTTTGACTTGGCTCAGCCATGGCTGTTGTGAGTATTGGAGGAGTGAGTCAGCCGGCAGCCTTCTGTGTCTGCGTTTGGCATAGCAACTTTTTATACAGATGGCAACGGTTTGACCCCTGCCTTTTGTCCAGAGAGGACCCACTGATCCCAATCCAATCTGATCTCCCCGACCTAATCCGATCCCCCCTCTTCGGAGGCCCCAGAGGGGAGGGGATAGGGTGGGGGATACATGTTGCCCGCTTGCTGGCTCTGGCTTGGGCACCCCTCTCCCCCCAGCAGAATCCTGGAGCAAGGGACTGCATTTGCTTTAGTGAGTTGATTTGGACAGCTCCAGTGAGCTGTGTGAGTTTCCAGCGGGCTTTCAAAAATTAATTAATTAATTAGTTAAAAGGCAGATTGACAGAAAGAGGGCGAGACAGAGAGGAAGATCTTCCATCCATTGGTTTACTCCTCACATGGCTACAACAGCTGGAGCTGAGCTTTTCTGAAGCTAGGAGTTTCTTCTGACTCTGTCATGTGGATTCAGTGTCCCAAGGCTTTGGATCATCCTCCACTGATTTCCCAGGCCATAAACAGGGAGTTGGATGGGAAGTGGAGTAGTCCATATGGGATCGCGGTGCATGCCACAGGAGGATTAGTCATTGAGCCATTGTGCTGGGCCCTTCCAGGACCCTTGTGACTCCTGGCAACCAGGGCAAGCCTGACCAGCAGCCCCCAGCTGAGGCCGCAGGCCACCTCTTCCTGCTGTTTCCCCAGCAGCCTCTGAGGCAGCAGGTGAAGCTTTGTCAGAGTGAAAGTGGCTGTCCAGGACCCTGGACGCCTCGTGTTTACCCAGAAATCGTACTAATCCTGCTAATTCCCAGATTTACTGAGGCTTTTGGCTCTGTCTCCTGTCTTCCTCTACAGCAAAAGGAGGAGGCGGCTGATCTGCAGAGGGCGGGGCCCAGGGGCGTGATGGGTGCCGCCTGGACACCTGCCACCCCTCCCCCGGCTGGGATCCGTTCCTATCATGGGCGACCATGGAGCCTCCAGGTGTGGGAGTGGGAACTTGAGTAAATGCAGACCCCTCTGCTCTCCCAGGCGAGCTGTAGGTGCCCTTGCCACAGCAGCAACCGGCTGTACAGGCCTGGTAGGCTTGGGCCGCTCGCTTCCACTTGGGAGCCAGGATCCAGTGGTGACACTCGCCTTGCCCTGCACATGTAATGAGCAGGAATGTGGGCAGGAGGAGCTGCTGTTGCTGCTGCTGAAGCAAGCTCCACTGGTTGGGGTACTTCTCAACTGCAGAGGAGGCTGGGCGTGCAAGGTCACGGCTCTGGCAGGGTCTGGTCCTCGTAGTGGTGACTGGGTAACTACATCTTCCTATGGAGAAGGGGTTTGTGTGTGAGAGCACTCTCTTGGTTGTGGGAGAAATATATCACAAAAGTGGCCAAGCACTTGGCAGGAGCTTTGTGCCCTGCTTCCTGCCAGGAGCCCCTCTGGCTTCCACCCTGGAACCTCAGCAGGGCTAGCGCCCCCATTCTCAGCCACCACAGGGGATTCTTGGGGTCATGCAGGACCTCCCTCTGCAAGTCTGCAGTCCTGCAACAGCTTAAAGCACCTTTAAAACTATATATATATATTATCTTTTATTTGAAAGGCAGAGATACAGAGAGGGAAGTACACACACACACACACAGAAATCTTGCATCCCCTGGATAACTCCCCAAATAGCCACAAAGGCCAGAGCTGAGTCAATCCAAAGCCAGGAGTTTATTCCGAGTCATCCGTGTGTGCAGGGGTCCAGGGACTTGATCCATCCTCTGCTGCTTTCCCAGGTTGTAAGTAGGGAGCTGGATCGGAAGTGGAGCAACAGAAACTTGAACAGGCTCTCATGTGGACAGTTGACACCAAAGGTGGAAACTTAGGCTTCTACACCATGGTGCCTGCTGCAGCTCAGCGATTCTTCCCCTCTGGAGCTGCCGCCTGCCTCCCCTCCTCCCAGAAGCAACCTCCTGCCACCTGCCCTTGCTGTCAGCTTCCACCTTTTGCCATCCCCTTTCCTAGCTCAGAGAGACAGCATCCTGGTTCCCATCGCCTTCCTAAGCCTCCACTCTGCTCTTTCCTTGCTGGACTTGAATCCACAGTCTCCCAAGTAGAATGTCAATTCCAAGTGTGTTTTTTCTTTTTCCCAAGAGATTGGCTTATTTGAAAGAGTTTCAGAGAGAAAGAAGGTAGGAGAAAGAGATCATCCACCTGCTCCCTCATTCTCCACATGCCCTTTCCCCTTCCCCACCCCCGCCCTGGCCCATGCCCAGAGCTGAGCCAGGCCTAAGCTTCATGTGGGTCTCTCACATGGGTGCAGGAGCCCAAGCACTTGGGCCAGTCTCTGCTCCTTTCTCAGGCCATTAGCAACGAGCAGGATCATAAGTAGAGCAACCTGGAACCTGAACGGGCACCCTTACGGTATGTTAGCATTGCAGGCTGCAGCTTACACTACTACACCTCAACACCGGCCACCAAGTACAAGTTTTATGGCTTTAATAGCAGATGTCATGTCAGATACCAAATAGAAGCGCTTAGCATGTGGGGACTGAGCGTGTGTGAGCCGATTCGTGGTGCGAGCTTTTGTACGGCTATACGAATGAATGAAGGAGAGAAGGAATCCACGAGGGATGAGTTCTGGCGAGCAGTGACATCCAAGGTTATCACTCTGTTTGCAGTTTCCCCGTGGTCCTAGGGTGTGGGTTTTCCCTCGTGGCTTCCTTTTGCTTTAGGGTTCCTCTCTTACGCTTGCTCAAGTTCACCTAGGTGAAAACTTGTTACATCCATGTGAAGATTTTGGGCAAAGAAGGGCCAGCAGGAAGGTAGTGGCTCCAGGAAACGAGTGGTGCGAGAATGTGTGTCGGGGTCTCCCAGCATCTCAAGGCTGAGCCTCTGTCTTCTCCTGTAGGGTCACACGCAGAATGATGAGCGGCTGAGATGGAGGCATCTGCCCCCGCCACTGCCCTGGAGAAGAAAGAAGGCAAAGGTGGGATCCTGGAGACCAGCGCTTTCCCTGACCCCGGCAAAAAGGCCGCTCCTCTTGCTCTGGCAGCGGCTGTGGCCGCCCAAGGAGGTACTGTGTGTGCTTTGCTTTGGAGAGCCGGAAAGGGATGGGGGGAAGTTGTCATTGGTCCATGTCACCAGGGAGGTGGGCAGGGTCTCTAGGGGTGGTGGGCGGGGCGTGTGATCTGCAGGGTTTCCATAAGTTCAGGGCATGGCCAGGGCACAGAGTGGGCGGGGGGAGCACCCTCAGGGTGGCCCTGGGTGCATTGGCCCTGTGTCGCGAGCTGCTGTTCACACTGCAGCCGTCCGGTACTATTTTGGAGGGTAATTGTCTCTCAAGGCCGCAGGGCTGTAATGAGAGGCTCAAGTTTGGAATTGGAGTGTCTTGGGCGAATTTCTGGCCAAGCTTAATTAGAACCGAGGGCCCCCGTGGCAGCCACAGCCTCTCATTTTGCTATCCCGGAGAGAGGCGCTCTCTGGTTTCCGCCCGGGACCTTGGCAGCCTCCTGCGGGAAGGGTTTGGCGGGAAGGCCAGACCTCCCCTTGTGTCCAAGTCGACCATCTGGAGGCTATGGGACTATTTCTGTCTCTGAGGGATGGTGCGCCGGCGATTTCTTTTCTGTGCATTTTTATTCAAGTGTGTTTAGTCATGCCCTGTTGCTTTTGCTGCTCAAGCGCTGGGGGATGGCTGGGAAGGGAGTGCGCGCCTTCACGGGCTGTCATGTCGCTGCGGATCTGGACTCAGCAAGCTGGGGAGAGGGCCGTGTCCCTGGTATTTCTGTGTTTCTGTCCCTCCCAGCAGGGCAGGGCTAGAGGTGGCGGCATGCACGGGGGTCAGTGTTGCTGACACTGGACTTGCTGACCACTAAGTTGTTGTAGTTGTATTTATTTCTCTTTTCCCTGTAATTTAAAGTTAGAAGTCATGGGTACTGGGCACATGTGTGGCCCAAGTGAGGAGATGGAGTTCAGAGACACACACCCTGCTTCCCTAGGGCTTCCTCGGGGATGTGGATGTTTAATATCTCCTGGCTTTGGATCTATGGGTGGGGCCTGGAGAGGGAATGGGGTGGCATGGGAGGGGCCATAGCTAAGTGACCCAGGAACGGGTGGAGAGGATCATGGTCCAGAGCCTGGGGTTTGATCACCTGTTGCTGTGTTCCCCCAGGGTCAGGGACTGCCTTGGGGTGTCCCTTTGGATGCTGCTGATCTTCTGGGCAGCCTGGCCTCCCTCCAGCACGACATACTGGCCTGGCCGAAGCTCATGGCCACTTACTGCCCATCAGAACTGTCGACTGAGGCAGTGGGATGTCCCTGGGAGTGGGGACCCTCCTGGTGGTCCCTGTTGGGACAATAACGACAGGCATTAGAGGGCACCTTGTGCTGGAGGCAGACAGGTGTGCATCGGCCCATTGCTTGGCATCTAGCAGCTCCAGGGAAGTACCCATCACCCCCATTCTCCCATCCAAGTACTAACCAGGCCCGACCCTGCTTAGCTTCTGAGATCAGACGAGATCGGGCGCGTTCAGGGTGGTATGGCTGTAGACCATCACCCCCATTCTTTCCAGCCCTGCTTAGCACCTGGGCCCTGGTTGCTGGGTTGTTAAGGCTCCAGATGCCGGCAAGTTCTGCATGCGTCAGCCCGCTTGCTGCCAGGCAGGTGGCAGCACGATCTCAGCCAGGTGTACCTGCTTCCAGAGACCTGCTGGGATGCCAGAGTCTCCTCATTACAGCCTGTTGAGGAAGGAGCTTCCTGGAGCGGGCTGGTCTCCCACAGAATGTCATTGGTGGGCAATGGTGATTGTATGCATGGCAGCCCAGAGAGCACCATCAGACCCTTGTTTTTGTGATTTGTGCACCTGAGGAGGATTAATAGATGTCATCCAGTCTGTTTCTTGAGTCTTCCCAAACCTGGCTTGGAAAGTCCCAGGACCTGACTCAGGTGGGCTTGCCTGTTTACAGGTGGCAGTGCATCTGGAGCTGCCCCTCAGCTCTGGGGCTCAGTGTGGGGCCCTGGGCAGGCCAGGGTCTCCTGAGATCCTGTGTGGTGCAGGGAAAACTGTGAACAGGGGTGGGTGCACAGCTGCTCAGAACCAGCAGCATTTGCTGGACCCTGGGGAGCTGGGTGCTTAGCCTGCACGTGTGGGCTTAGGGGTGGCGGAGAGTAGGTGAAGCAGAACCATGAGGATTCACAAAGGCTTGGGAAGGGGTTCAAGGCTTCAGCTCACTGCATCTCACGTGGTCAGGATCTATCTCAGCCATGGCCCTTCTGTGCCCGTGAGGTATGGGTCCCTGGACCCTTCCCCATACCCGCATCCACGTATCTTTAGATACCTTCTAGCGTAATTGCGTGGAGCCTTTGATGCTTTATTTATTTATTTTCAGATTTTATTTATATATGTTATTTGAAAGGCAGAATTACAGAGCGAGGGACAGAGATCTATCCACTATTTCACGCCCCCCCAAGATGGCTGCAATGGATCAGACTGAAGCCTGGAGACAGGAGCTTCTTCTGTGTCTCCACTCAGATGCAGGGACCAGGGCACTTCTGCCTTCCTTTGCTGCCTTCCCAGGTGCATTAGGGAGCTGAATGGGAAGTGGAGCAGCTGGGACTAGAACTGGTGCACATGTGGGATGCTGCTGTTGCAGGCAGTGGCCTTCCTGGTTTCCATGCCTCCTCTTCTTACATCTTTTCAATCATCTCTGGGTTAGTTAATACAATGCAAATGTTATGAAAATAGTTGTTACACTGAGTTATTTGGGGAATAATGACAAGAAACATTTGTTCATTTTCAGAAGGGACACACTTTAATTAAAAAGTATTTTTGGTACATGGTTGGTTGAATGGCAGGGCACCTAGAAGGCTGACTAAATTTGCTCTTAAATTGTTATTTTAGAAGATTTGGGAGTGATTTTTTTTTAAAAGATGTACTTTTTTTGAAAGGCAGAGTTACAGAGAGAAGACAGGGAAGAGGCAGAAAGAAAGGTCTTCCAATTGCTGGTTCGTTCCCCACATGGTCATAATGGCTGGGACTGGGCCAAACCAAAGCCAGCAGCTGGAAAACTCCATGCAGGTCTCCCATGTGGATGCAGGGGTCCATGTACTTGGGCCGTATTCTCGGACACTTTAGTAGGGAGCTGGATGGAGCATCCGACACTTGCATGGGATGCTAGCGTGGTGGGCAGTGGTGTAATCCGCTGTGCTGCAGTGCTGACCACTTGATTTGGGCTTTCATTTGGTCCCAGCTGCCTGGTGCTCTGGGTGGGTGTGCAGCCTTGGGAGGGGCTCCACGCAGGGTTCCAGAGCTCCATTTCGTTATCTATTTTTTTCTTTTAGATTTTTATTTATTTTTATTAGAAAGTCAGATTTACAGAGAGAAGGAGAGACAGACAGATCTTCCATGCGTTGGTTCACTCCCCAGGTGGCCGCAATGGCTGATCTGAAGCCAGGAGCTAGGAGCTTCTTCCTGGTCTCTCATGCGGGTGCAGGGTCCCAAGCAAGGCTTTGGGCTGTCCCCAACTGCTTTCCCAGACCACAAGCAGAGAGATGTATGGGAAGCGGAGTAGCTGGGATATGAACAGGTACCCATATAGGATCCTGGAGTGTACAAGGCCAGGACTTTAGCCACGAGGCGACTGCTATGGGCCCATTCCCTCATCTGTTGCAGCGGCTAACAGCATACGCTCTTGGCCAGTCTAGTTATGCATGTGATACCCTGGTGGAGTCACCTGGCTGAGCTGGCCTTTGGCTGGAAGGTTACAGTTCACGTGTCCACTCTCCTGCATCAGTGCAGGCATCAGAAAACCCTTGGCAGCTGGGAACAGCTGGGGCCGGGTGAGGTGGAGGAGAGGGACACAGCGGGACACAGGATGAAACAGCACGGTGGGCAGACCCAGGGAAGGTTGGGTTCTCCGTTTGGTGGGCGCCAAGGGCGGCGCTGCCTTTCCCGACTCCAGTTGCTGTGCGAACACTTTAGAGGCTGTAAATCTTTCAAAACCTCCGTTGGCCCTGAGTCTCCCCCCCCCCCCCGCCCCTCCTCCCTTTAATTTTTCAAATGCTGCAATTTCAAAGGCAATTTGATTCAGATGTTTCTCATTGCTTGATGTTGAAACTGCCCAAAATGCCGTGTCTTTTCCCTTGCTGCCAGTCAACCCTGGGTTTTTCTTTCCAAAAATATTTCCTGCACCTCTTTGGGGAGGGGAGAGGCTTTGCAGAGCACCAGCACCCCTTTCCTCCCCACTCCAGAACCCTGAGCCTCCTAAACACTTTGGATTTGGGTCTGGGTGTCTTGTGTGGTGTGGGCTCGGAAACTCGGTGGCTCCAGAGGTCTTAGGGAGGGTCCGTGACTGCCGGCAGCCAGCACCCCTACCCATCAGTCATTATGGTCAGACCAGACGTCTTTCCAGTGTGGACTCCACCTGCAGTCCATCTCGGACCTGCCGGGTTGGCACCTGGAGCCTGCAGGGTGGGTCCCAGAAGGCTGTGGTTAAGGAACAACTTCTGGTGATTCCATTGCAGACTTTTATGGAAAAAAATAGTTTTACTTTATTTTCATTTTCTTTGGACAGAGACGGACAGAGATTGTCCGTTTGTTGGTTCATTGCTCCAAATGCCCATAACAGCCAGGTTTGGGTTAGGCTGAAGGTGGAATCCCAGAACTTAACCTGGGTCTCCCACAGAGGTGGCAGAGACCCAAATGGTTGAGCCATGATCTTCTGCCTCCCAGGATGCACATGAGCAGAAAGCTGGACTGGAAGGAAACAGGGGCACTGGGATTCGAACCAGGTACTCTCCCATATGGGATGTTGGTAGGCTAATTGATGTGAGCTGCTATGCCAAACATTCCTCTGACTCTTGTTAAGTTTGTACTGATTTGTTGGAGGGGTATAGAGAAAGAGAGCTAGATGGATGGATGGAAATCTTATCTGCTGGTTCGCTCCCCAAATGCCTGCCTTGGCCGAGGCTGGGTCCTGGCCAAAGCTGGGAGCTGGGAACTCAATCCAGGACTCCCCATCTGAGTAGCACGCTGGTCCCACCACTTCCCAAGGGCTGGAATCGAGAATGGAGCCCTG